GGCACATTGATTTGTAGTTGTTTCTTAACAAGAATATTGGCTGTTAAATTTCAGGTTAAATACAATAATTGAATATTTGTGAACTAAGAGACATTAACAGAATAATTCAACATGAAATAAAAACGGAGAACTAATTTTCTATTCACTAGATTTGGGCCTCAACTCTCAGATCCATCAATTTCACATTTTTCCCACACACAAACACAAACAATTGGGTCAACTTTATACAATAAATGTTCTATTCCATAGTTAACTACTTTAATTCACCATATAACAATCTGTAGAACTTCTAATTTTTAGAATAGCAATTCTGAAATCATTTACAATAATATTCTTTCCCAATAAACATTATAATAATTATTTCTGAATATTTGAAAATTTCATTTGCTATTCTATGATATAAAATTTTATAGCACATTTTTTACACAACGCAGCCCAAAAAATATTCTAAAATCACAGAACATATATAATATATAATTAAACATAAAATCATATAATAAAAAATACATAAAATCAAATAATTGCTGAAAAATACATAAAATCATTCATTAAACATAAATACAATAAAAAAATTAAATGTGATATCAACTACTATAACTCCAAAAAATTCATAAAGAATTATACACCAAATTTCCAAGAAGAATTCCAGGAAAAAAAAATTAAATAAGAAAGTAATTCTCTAAAATATTTCAATCAAATTAAATTTCATAAATTTCATAAAATTGCATTTAGTTTAATAACTTTCGAAAAAAATTTCCAAAATTACTTTTTATCTCCTACTCTCATACTTGAAAACTATTTCCAAAAAATTTCAAAATTTCCTAAACTCTGATACTTCAAAAATACTTTCAAAATATACAACCAAGCAAACTCCAAAAATTTCTAAACTCTTTTCGAAAAATTTCTTCATAAAATTCGTCACCCAAAACCAAATGAAACAAGATCATAAATTCTTCCTTATACACAAATAGTAAAAAAAACCCAAATAAATCCACCTATTATAAATGGTTATAAATATTGTCAAAGAACTTAAAATATAAAATACAAACAGATCAATATTGTAAACAACCAAAAAAAACATACAAATAACCTGCAACTTACCAGCAAAAGCTTTTCAGATATACTCCTGCTCTGCTTGAGAGTTCCGATGAAATAACTAGGTCAACTTTATACAATAAATGTTCTATTCCATATTCAAATAAAGAATATGCAACATTCTTTTACTACAATAAATCTCCATCCTCAACTCCTGCTCCTCCGTGCTCACCAGTCAACATTCATAATTGTGCACAGCCTCACTTTTGCGTCATTGGCCGACAAAAGCAGGACTCAATTAACGCTCGCCTCGGCTCTCTCTCTCTCTCTCTCTCTGTCTTCTTCTCTTTTGTCTTCTTCTGAAGCAGTATTTTCCATCTTCTACTTAATCACTCATTTCTCTTTCTTCTTCATCATTCTCTTCCAGCTCATTCTTCTTCATCACTCTCTTCAGTTTCTTATTCCTCATCGAGAGAAAAAGAGAGACTGAACGAAGGAGGCCAAAACTCAATCTATTCTCTGCTATTTATCTACAAAACCTCTCACCTCTAATCCATGGCCTCCTCATCTCGTCCCCTTACTCTGTTTCCAGACCTGAACAATCCCATAAGTTCTGCTGGGCCGAGTGCCCCTGCTCCTACTTTTACTCCTCTTAATTTCCCTATGCTATCCATCGAGCAAATAATGGCTGCTCAATCTGATATTGAGGCCAACCATTATACGCTGAAATCATGTGTAGAGACCATGACTGCGATCACTAACCTGTCTCACTGGCTACAGAATAGAATAAGTGAGGTACAACAGTTGAACTCCCAACTCTCTTTGCTCCAGCGTATGTACAAGGATGCGCGAGCAGAAATTTGCACGCTGAAAGCAGAGAACAAAGAGTTGAAACGGAAGGCCACCGTCATGGCCCGATTTAGAGCACCTTAGTACTTTGCTTTTGACGGCCAGCAGGGAGTCAACCCTCTCGATGGTCCTGTAAACACTGAGGCAAGGCCTTCAAGGGTCGACAACAAAAAGAGGAAGAGCTTGGCAGTAGAGCCGAGTAAGTGAATTCGGCGTGTGGTCGTCACCAGAGAAGAAAGAAGAACAAGATCCCTCTTCTTTCTTTCTTTTTTGAGTTTGTTTTGTTTTTGTTTTTGTTTTTGCTTTTTTTTTTTTTTTTTTTTTTTGGTTTTTTTTT